CCAGGTGGGTGTGGCTTGGGTCTGGCTGCTGTGCTGCACTTCTTCCTGCTGCAGCCCTTGGAAGTGAACTCGTTGTGCCACTCTAGCAAGATGTTCTGCTCCTGGATCAGCTGGGTGGGTCTTGCCTCTAGCCTTTCTGCAGAAAGTTCTGCAGCAGGTTGCACACCCTACTGCAGGATGCAGGAAGTTACACACACACACACCTGGCCTGCGTGCTGGGTGGAACGAAGATCTGGCAGACCAATGGGCAGTCCCCCACACACATGTGGGGCCAAGGTGCTGGCTGAAATGAGGATCCAGATGGCCCTGGCCAGCCCCCACACATGCTGGGCCTGGCTGCTGGCTAGAATGAGGATCCAGCAGGCTAGTGAGTGAACCCACACACACCAATACATGCCTTTTGAAGCAATGCCCAGGACACTAAGCTGACTCTAGACATGGGGGATGGTGCCAGTTTTCACTACAATCAATGGTCCTTGCAGGTTGGCGTGGGATCCAAGCATAATGGGAGCATTCACTAGGAAGGCAGTAAAAGACCTGTTTGGGTTGCTATTCCAGAATGTAAGTGGACACCCCATAATTCTGACCAGTCTGGAGACAGAAATTACACTAAAACCTGGAAAAAACTTAATATAAAGAACTAACAACTGGGTAGGAAGTTGTTAACCAGGAAGCACTAAGGCTGAGTTTCTCTGAGTGGTCCTGGGCTCAGCTGCATCAGCCCATCAGATGCACATGACCTATGATGGCCTCCAGCCATGGCCAGATATGCTGAAGCAGAAGCCATCAGGTGAGGCTCTGTAACCACATGGCACAGTCCCTCCAAGTTACCAGGCAAAGACAGAAGTAGGAGAACTTGGTGAAGCATCTACCTACTTTTCCATGCTACCCCCTGGTGGTGGGGAGATCAGAGGGAAGGTGTGGGATTGTTAAAACGCAGATGGATGGAAAAGCACCTTTAGATCCCACATTCACACCTCTGTCAGGGTCAATCCTCCAGCCACAACAGGAAGGAAGTGCTGCTGCTAGGAAAGAAGTGTTGGGAGAAACAATCACTCCCAGACAGACAGACAGGCAGGGATCAGGGTGATAGGGCCTTGCAGGGCCAGCCAGCACAGAAATGGGGGCTCAGCTCCATCTAAAGAGCAGAACAGAGAAGGGGATTTGTTGTGTCAAGAGAACAGCTTAATAACTGGCAGAAGCTATAAATACTAGTATGGTCAGGACTTCTTTTCACTGATAAGAGTGGTGTAAACTATGTGGTCAGGCACTTTTAACAAATATATGCATCTCTCCATTCTCTTCCTTTAGGACATGCTCAGAAGGATCCCTGCCATCCAAGTACCCGTGTCATTAACAGACTAGTGTGTATCCCTGTATAGCACTGCTCAGAGTTTTCTGCCCACCCCAGCCCACAGAATAGCAAGGAGTCTGCACTGCAAACACAGCTCTTACCACAGTTCTTCAGGGTTAGCAGGGGGTGCTTTGTAGGCAGCGGTTCTGGGGTCGTCACATCCAGTCCAGCAGCTGCAATCTGACCACTGGCCAAGGCCTGGTACAGGTCATCCTGGTTTACAACATCTCCCCTGGAAATGGCAATGATGGGTTATAGGTGCCCCGTATTTCTCCAGCCAGCTGCCTTTGGGGCACAGCAATCAAAGAGTGAGTTCTTCCTCTAAGTTTAGTATTTGACCCTGCCACGTATCTCAACTTTTCTGGGCCTCAGGCTCTTCCTCAGTAAGACAGGGAGAATACCACCTAATTCCCAGGGATGTTGGGAGGATTAAAGCTTCCCTGCATGTTCTGGGGCATGGATAGGGCTCCATGCAGGTATCTCTAACCTGGCTATACCCCTAAGTCACCTACTGGCATCCACAGCATGCTACCAGGCAAAGAAACCTCAATTATCCATCAAAGTGAGTAGCCACTAAAGAACTGATTTTCTAGACTTTATATTGTGTCATAAGATATTGTGCAACAAGGACTATTGTAGCAGGCCTGCATAGTCCTGGGCATTTGCAGGCATCTGCTGAAGACCTGAGCCCTTGCACTGCTTACTCTGCCATCCATAGGTCACTCCTTTGTTGCTCAACATTGTCAATTACAGGTACCTTTAGGATATGAGCGCTCATGTTGACCTCATCTAAGGCCTTCTTCCAAACTGATTTAAAGCGTTCAGAAGGTATCAACTAGGAAGGAGCTACAGTAGCAGAGAATGGACACCTGCCCCTACATCCCAGTGGCCTGAACACACTCCTGAGGACATCATGGGGAACTAGGAAAACTTGAGGTTTAGGCTTCTCTTCCCAGGAGCGCAAAGGTTCAAACCGTCACTGAACTCACCTGGCTCAATGGCATGGAAGGCTGGTCTGCAGGGCCACTCAGATCAGAAAGACCAACTCTTTCTGGTAGAAGAAAATGAGGCTTCTTTGTGACTCACTGCCCCCTAGGCTCTCCCCAAACCACACTACAGTGTGCCAGGCCTCCATTTGAAGCTGAGGCTGCTGTGGGTGACAGAGGTGCCAGGCTCTGCCCTGACTGTTCTACTTCCTAACTCGGCTCTTGCCTGGCCTCTGCTGTATTTCTGAGCTGTTGATCCATCAGTTATCTGTGGAGCCTGACAGGCTCAGTCCAAGGTCTCATTCATATCCTACAGGAAACCCTAGGACAGCAGTAGGGACAGCCCCTCTCTAGGCTTGCTGAGTGACCCCAAGGTATTGCGTGGTCCTCGGCTACCTGCTGATGTTGACAAACACAGCTGTTTTCTTCATCTTCTGGAAGAAGTCCCTGTTGCAGAGTCCTTTGGTTTCAGGCGTTAAGGAGCAGGCCACCACGATGAAATCAGACTCTGCAGCCAGCTGGTGGGTGGACACTGGGGAGGGGAAGGGACTTGATCAGACGTTAAGGACAGCAAGAGGGTAGAGACCAGACCCTTCTTCCGACCCCTA